ACTGGGCACGGGGCTGTGTGGCACCATGCAGCCTGGTGCTCTGCAGCGCAGAGGGGTCACCAGCCAGGAGAAATTTATTTCCAGCACCTGGGGTTGGTTTATGACCTATAAACAGGGCTTAAATGTTTGGGGGAAACATAGCTGGGAACTTCTCATGTATTTTGTTCATTTATTGATTTAATTATCTTTTTTAGTCCTGGCTTGTATAGGCCTGCCCCGTTCTCCTTCTCTCTTTATGAAATAGTATTTGTAGCTGTTGTTACAGTTCCTCTTGGAGGAAGGATGCAGCAGTCATTTCGTTTGGACCAGTTTTCATGTGTGTGGGTTGTGCTGGGGCGGGAGGTTGCTGTGAACTGAGCAGTTGGCTTTACTAGAAGCAGTGCCATCCCAGCTGTGCTCTAGTAGCTTTGGATTCTGCTGCCAGAGCAGACCAAGCCATTTATCGATGCCTCCAAGCCTAACAAGCTATTTAGAAAATAAATTTACAGAATAGGCAGAGGCAGAAGAGCAGTGCTTTTATTTCTGGCTTGGTTCTCCTGGGCACGAATGCAGGACGGTGTCAGGGATGTGGCTGTGGTGTCTCGACTCACGATCAGCGCTTCTTGCAAGTGAAGGAAGGTCAGGCTGGCTGTGGGCTGGCACGGAGACCTCTGTGGGTGTTGGACAGCAGGCGGTGTGTGGTTTTGCAGAGAGCGTGGGAACCATCACATAAAGCTAATGGGCTTTGGTGTCAGGTCAGTGATGTTGCTTTCAGTATCCTTGCCAAGCTCCACAAGGAAAATTAAATTTTTTTTCCTCTTTAAGTGTCTTGTGGACTTTAAGCTGACTAATAGCTTTCACTTCTTGACCTAAACATCAGCGCTGTCGATGACTCTTAAAGGTTTGCATCGTTTCACTCAAGGCTCTTCCGTCCTGGATACGTGGTCCTGTATGCTTTGGGCTCTTTGGGGTGTAAATTGCTATTTTGGCTTTTGGCCCCTGACATTTTGTACAGCACAGGCCAGCAGGGACTGTTCTGGGGCTAGCAGGAATACCCGCTCCTCTCCAGGTTACACCGCTCTGAGGGCGGGGATGGCAATATGCAACTCTCACACCAGCTGGAGGCTCGGAGGCCACTGCTCTGTGATCCTGCATCATTGGGAAAAGCAACTCCAGGCTTGGGAGTGAAATACGCTGCGTGACAGCCTGCATCTCATCGTAACGCTGATGCGAATGGCAAAGCAGTTACATTTGGTGGCAGGAGATGGCCGGGCTCTCACCAGTTTGCCTCTCAGACAACAGGTTTTATGCTCAGGGCCCTGACTAGGTGGCACATCCAGAGCAAATGCTCGAGGTGCCTCTGGGCTGAGCCTGTGCTGCCAGAAATCCGCCTGTTTCTCCTGCTCCTGGCAACAAAAACTTTGTCCCCCTCGTTGCGCAGCTCAAAATGACTGCTGGTACGCCTCCGCTCTCGAAAGGCGGGCTGCAGGTTTGAAAAGTGTGAGGTTTGGCGGAGCTGTTAATTATGGGATAGGCTGTTGTTTTTTAGATAGTGTCCCTAGTTAACAAGAATAGTTCTGCTGGAAGTGGATAAGATTCTTCGGAGGGTTTGTGCTTTTATCTGTCATGCAGAGGGTGCTGCCGAAGTTTATCTCTGCGCAGCTATCCTTGCTGTAATTATTCATTACTGAACCATTGCTTCAAGGTGGGGCTGGTTTGACAGTTTTTAGAATATGTTTTTCCCCTTCATGTTATGTTTTTCCCCTAAGAGGGATTTCCCCTTCCCCCACTTGAAAAGGAAAGCAAGTAGGGTTATCATTATAGACTTTTTTCAAAATTCAAAGTTGTTTCTCAAATGCACAATTTTTACACCATTTTAAAGTAGTCTAAAATACGCAGTCTTAAGAAGGTTTAAATTCTCTTTAGTCATATGAATTTGTTACCTGAGTGAAAACCCAAAGCAAAGCTGGGACTTTCCCTCTAGCATAGGAAGGGGTTTGCATATAGGCAATTGCGTTTTGCTTCTTGCTTTCAACTGGGGAGATCTGTCCCAAAACCGTGTGCATCGTCAGCACAGTTTCGAGCGAGCAATGTTTTTAACTGTTGTCTACAGTGGATGAAGAAGAAAGAGGGAGAGAATGAAGCTCAGCAACCTCCGGGAGGCATAAAATGTCTTTATGGCTGACGTGGCTGGTGAATAGGACAGTATGATTATATGGCCGGTGTGTTTCGAATTCTGCTGGGAGAGCTTTGCAGCTTAGAGATAATGGTGATGGCGGCTTACTCGTACTTACCCATTGAATTGCTTTGTGTGCTTAATGTTATTTATTTGCTTATCTGGTACTGATGAAATTTCATCAGCCCAATTGTAATGGGTTTAACTCTCAGCCCTGCCAGGCCTCGCAGGGCACGCTGTAGGAAACGCTTCCCGAGCCGGCACAGGAGGGGCAGCGCTTGGGAGAAAGGCATCTGTTGAGTGGGCATTTCTTCACTGAAAAGCAAGATCCTGTGGGAGCCATGTGGGAGCTGGATCCCCCTCCCTGCCCCTTGACTCCTGACAGTTTGAGGAGTTTTTGTTCTTCTCCACCATGGACTGCTGCACACAGTGGCTCCAGTGCAGAGTGACTCTGCTCCTCTGCTGCAGACACAGCAGGAGGACATTGTGCCGCTTCTGTTGGGAGCTGCTTCTGCTCTCCGTAGCAAACCGTGCATCAGCCCCCAAAATCACTGTGTCCAGGGTGTTTTGTAAGGTGCAGACAGGTTTCAGGTGCTCTCAGGGTCCCACTGAGTGGTTTTTTGATGGATCTTTGTGGCTTCCAGTGGTGCATTTTTCCTTGTAAAAGAAGAGGCAGCACTTTCTCTCCTGTCTCTGAAAAATTAATGGCTACATCCTCCCGAGCCCATCTCCACACCTTTAGCTCTGAGATGGCTGAATCCTGCCGTGCGTGGAGCTCAGTGGGAACGGGGGCTGTCCCTGCCCGGCTGTGAGCAGCACGGCATTAAAGGTCTTCTTGAAAAGCTCAGACAGATAGGAAGATCATCAGCTTCTCTGGAAAACAGCCGGCCGTTTCTCTGTGCTGAAAAGCCCCAGCGCTGGCAGGTCAGTGGGAAGCAGGGTGACAGTCAGGCCTGTGACCAGGGGCCCTGCGCGCCCGCCAGCAGATCCACTGGCCTTTGCTGAATCATTGCTCGCTGCTGTTGTGCCAGGGTTGCACAGATGCTAATGCTTTATTCAGAGGAAAAGTGGAAGATCTTCGGCTGTGTCAGACACTGTCCGTGGAGCCAGCAGACAAGCCTCCGGTGGGGTATGCGAGCTCACTGGCTGTCAAGCTAGAAGTCCCCTCTGGATGGTGTTCCAGGACATTCTTGTCAAGAAAGGACTAAATATATCTTTCCAGGGAGACTGGAGGAGACACTAATTGTTCTTGCCAAAAAACAGGTGGGAGGAAGAGAGAAAAGGAGGCAGAATAAGGAAACAATAAGCCTCATTTCAATCCAGCGCAGCAGATTTGAGTGGTTTGCGTCTGTGTCTGCAGCTGGGAAGCAAAGACATTAGTATCTGTAGTTGTTCAGTGAACTGAGCTGGGCTGGGAGGACTGTTAGGGACCACCGGTTGTGAGTGAGGTGGGAACTGCTTCTCCCATCGTGTTTTCCTGCTAAAAAATGCATGGGGAAAACTGTACCCAGCCCTGTGTGTGCGTTTGGGGCAGAGAGGTCACTCTTCTGTGTACGCACATGCGCAGACACACACGAGCAGCACATCTGTGTGTCATTTTACACTCCTGTTCACGCCCAAGTTGCTTTTGTGCCCTGTGCTAAGTAGGCCTGTAAATAATACCAAGCCAGATGAGACCAGGATATAATCAATATGATCCTTTGCGCTCTGGGATGGGGGCCACCGTATGTCAGATAACCATTTTGGGGGGCAAGAGTTAGGTACTTGGTTCTTTCCTACTTTATACCTCAATTTTTATGGGTGTTTTCTTGTCAGGACAAGTTCTTGAAATTACGTGGTACAGTTCTGTCAAATGGCTTTGTAGCTAAGGCAGAAATTAAATTGCACAGTCATCTTGCTAAGGCTTAAAAAAAGCTGGGTGAGGGATCTGGTTACTAGCGTTGGAGTTTCTCTTGCATGGTTCCATATATCCAGTTGATTTACTGCCAGCAAACAAAACCACGTGAGTTTGCTTTCTTGCTGCTGGTAACCTGAGCTTCACTGCTGGATTCATTCGCTCCTGACGGTCATGGAAAACATGCGATTACACTAATAGCTGATTATTAATCACTGCCAATGGCTGTAATTATATCAGCTATTAGGAAGTCAACTAAAAGCGATATCTGTCCAGCCAGCATGGAGAATAAGGAGAGACACAGTCCCTGCTTCACAGGAGCGGATGATGTTTGTTGGTGACTTCATTTCCTTTGGCAAATAAATGCACGTTAGAAAAATAACTCTGAATTTTAGCCCCTTTCTACTTCTGCTCCAGCGTGCAGAGCTATTTACTGTGCCCTGCTCCATACCATGGTGTTGGCTTTCTGAGCACTGCAAGAAGGACTCGGGGTTAAGCAGCCGTTGTGCTGTCATCTCAGCCCCACAACCAGGCAAGACCCTCTTCTCTAAGAGTGCCTGGCCCTGGTCTTGAGCTGTGACCTTCCCTGAGCACAGTGGTGTGATTTCAGGGAACAAAATAGGTATATCGTCTTACAGTGGCTGAAAAGATGGTTGGCTCTTGTTGGCTGATTGCTTGTACAGGATGTTTAATGCTCCTGGAAACTGGCTGACAAACTGAAACCATCTCATGGGGCGGTAGGTGGGAGCGCACCAACTGGGCTCCAGGTGAAGGCGTGTTGTGTCAGATTTTGTCTCATGGGTGTTTGTTTTTATTCTCCTCTTCAGGTAACTTTGCTGAGAGACAGCGGAGCAGTGTCAGGACGTCACCACGATGGAGGATCACGCAGCTGGCCAGGAGAAGCACATCCCATCAGGTGAGCACCTCCAGGAGGAGACAGTGTAAAGGACCTGCCTCACCCACCGCTGAGAGAATGTCCTAAATGGGGAGAGTGGGGCCAGCGTGGCGGTGGGAGGGTCCTTGGGGATGGCCAGGAGGAGATGGGATGTGTGTCTGGAAGGTTACTGGGGATCAGCTGGCTGCAGCCGGTGGGCAGTGGGTAGCCCACAAGATGCTCAGATGTTCGTAGTCATAGGAACATGCTGCTGTTTGATATTGTTGCCCAGCAAGAGCAGAACAACCCACCCCCAGTATCCAGAACAGTGGTGATCTTACTGCTGCAGCTTTGCAAATGTATATTTCTGTGTTCACTCCTCAGTTTGCTATAAAAATCCAGCACTGCTTTTATTTGGAAACACAGCTCAAGGATGCTGCTTGCTGCCTGCTTTTCTCACCTGCACAGGGAGTTGGGGAGCACTGAACAGAGAGTTTTGGGAGCGGGGGCCATACAGGAATCTTTTGCACCGTATTTCAGACCTGCATTTCTCCAGAAGCTTTTCCTTTCTCATTCCATCATGGTCCACAATTGAACTTGGAAACCCAGCAAACCTAGTGGGACTCACTCCCGGATATGCTCCATATACACGTCATCTTAATTTTCTTTTCTTGAGGTGCTTTGGACACAGCTTACACCAGACAAATGGACTGCCTCTGTCCTGGAGAGAATCCATAGCATCCATTCATCCCAGACTCTGCAATGCATTTCAGGCTGAGCTCCTCTCAGCCTGCAGCCCCAGCTTCGCACATCACAGCTTTCCAGGGGTTTTGCTTGTGTTAGTTTGAATCTTCTTTTCCAAGTTGTTTTCTCCACTTCTCATTATTTTATTTGCCCAGACTCCTTGCAGAGAGCAGACTTGTACCTCTTGCCCTACTCTTCCAAAAGATGACTTTTGCAACCAAGTCTTCACACAGTACATTATGTGCTGCACCAAACCCTTTACAAAGACTTGCTGGTTTGCAATGATTAGAATTAACACATCATGGTTACGTTCAGCAGCCTGCTCTGGGAGGGAGGCTAATGGCTCCAGAAATGGCAGAGGGGACAACAGTGGCTCAGAAGTTGTATATCATCTTTTCTGCTTACGTTGCTAAGATCTCCTTTCCTTCTCGTGCCATGCTTTGCTGTTTCTAGCTGTTCGGTTCACTGGGCTTTGCTTTTGCTGATGGGTTTCCACTTGTTCCTTTTGGTGATGACACTGGCACTTTTGATTGGCATTTTCACGCTTTGCTTGCTTATTAGTTCAGGTGTTTTATACTCTCCAAGGACAGTTTCTTGCTGCTGTGGATCTGGGCAATCAGGGGTCGTAACGCACAAGCCATAATTTCTGGCCAAGGACTTGTTCTAAGTATTTGAATGTTTTCCAGGCTATCCCCTTCAGATACCAGTCGATGACGGATCGGATGAGCCTGTTTCTGAAACATCTGACGCTAAGAGCACCCCAACTACGGAAGGTGGGAGCTCTTTGACTTACTGCTTTGAAACCATGATGGATGGGGTCGTGGTGAACCTTGCCGAAAGACTCGCTGTGCCGTATTCTGGTGGGGTTTCTCAGGAGGAGTGTCTGCACTCTTGCACAAATGCTCTTCGTTAGTCTCATCACAAGCAATGTTTGCCACTCTGCAGAATGTGATAATGACCTTTAAAGGTGGAGAGTGGGTTGGAAGGCAAGAGAAGGTGAAGTGTTTATTATAGTTCAGGAGGTTGCTTGCAGTTTGTTTCCTGAAGACTTTTTACACGGTGACCGCGAGCTCCCGTTAGCTCAGCACAGCTGGGAGCAATCTGAGGTGGCGTGCTCCCAGGGCCAGTGGTTTGCATCGTTGTGCTCTCCTGGGATACTGACAGTGCATCCTGGTCGCTGTGTTCCCCTTCAGAGTCAGCTGTGCCTCACAGCTCTTTTCTTGCCCCTCTGTATTTATATGTTCATTAGTACAGCATGAGGAGATGGGCAGAGTCTATACATAAACCAAAGCTTTGTGGGGATGTAAAGATCATATTGGTAGGACTCAGGCCATGTCCCTGCTGGTCCAGAGTGTTATCTGAATGCATTCATAGAAAGAATCTAATTCTGAACTGGTCTAGAGACTTGTGCACAGTTTTAATTAACTTCACTTTTTGTTTTCCTCTGGCTGCTTTAATCCCAAGTAACTGTCTCTTGGAGACTTCAGGTAAAGGCATTCGTTTGCAAAATTTATCTAAAAGAAAGGTGGACAGAGATGCTGACCAGTTCCAGCCCTGTCCCACTGGAGGTGTGGGCCAACAGTGATCTTCTGTGGAGTGGCTCTGTTCCCATGTATGTGGCTCAAGAAATCAGTATGTAAAGCCTGGCTGGTGCAGAAGGGGATGATGTTGTCCCTCTTTCCAGTTGGATCAGGGCTGTCATGACGATGGGAGCTGTTCTTTCCTGCTCCAGCCGGGTGATGTCCCCATGCAGACAGCATGGCTGTGCATAGACCAGGCACCAGTCTTTGGCTGTGTATCTTCAGACAGTGTTTATGGTGAAGCCTCCAGCTGCGTAAGGAGTACGCTGGAGATGTGTGATTTGTGTGGCAGAGGGGACAGCTTACAGTGTCCTGGCGATACTGGCTTTGCTGTGTCGTGCTCGGTTGTCTCCCTCCTCCAGCACTGGCTCAAGGGAGGGGGTCGAGTGCTTTTCTGAGCAAAAAGTTCTTCAGGCATGTCCTGGCCTCCGCAGGGTTTTGCCACTCACCGGCTGTGTGAAAGCTGCGTTGTTTTTCAGATGCCACTGCACCTTTAGTGGAGGAAGGAGACCACGAGGATCAGGGTGGTGTCGAAGAGCATGGGGAGATCCCAGAAGGAACCACAGGTGAGGGAGGCCAAGGTGCAGTTTCATCTCTTGATGCAGACACAGCAGAGAGCCGGACTGGTTAGTGCTTTAAAATAACGCTGCAAAACCTCCTGCAGGCGTGCTTTGCTCCTTACACGTGCTTCTTTCTTCTCCACAGCCTGCAGAAATAATTCCTAGCTTATAATTGTCCTCTTGCCTTCCTCAGCCTGGGGGAAACTTGCAGCCTTTTCTTCTCTCTTTCTCAGCTCCACATCTCACAATCTTTCTATCTGGTGTCTCTGTGGTGGCTTTGCCTCCCATATCCAGGCTAAGCGCTTACCTGCGATCCCAGTCATCTCTGCCCCTCTGCCAGCAGCCCTGCTGTGCTGGTGAGGAGAGGTGTCACCGCAGGACCTTGTTGCTTGTCTCACTCTCGTCCAGCCTGGCTCATGCCGTTGTCTTTGAAGTGACAGGTGAAAACCAGGCCACTGCAGCAGTTCTTTGTCCGCTGGTATGTTTTAAGGATAATGCAGAGGAAGTGAAGTGGCTAATTCAGCCTGAATGCTCTGTGGGGAATTACTGCACCTGGGCCTGGTTTTCCAGGGAGGGATGGGGGTCTTCCGGAGGCAGAGTGAGAAGGGAGTGAGCTGCAGTAGTCCTGTGTGTGTACAAGAGGGCAGGAGCTCCTGGGAGAGTCAGGTCTGTATGTGAAAAATGAGAATGTGTCCCCTGTGCAGTAGCTGCTGTCCTTTCCTGCATGCATCAGGCAGGACCTGAGAAAGGTGGTGGGTGGAAATGGGCTTCTGCCAATGCCCAAACGCTGAAACAAGCCCAAACACACTCCCTCGGGCAGCCAGATTGTCTGTCCTGCATCCAGTCCCCAGGCTGCCGGTGGAGCCTGGGGCTGAAACGCAGAGTCGCTTGCCTGCTAGCAAGGATGTGCAGTCTCTGCTTCAAGATCTGACTGTAGCAGGGAGCCAGGAAGAAGCAGTATGTCCTGAACTCCTTGGAAAAAAATGGGGAAGACAGAGAAAGTCCTGGTTTGACCATAGAACTGTGACATACAAATATTAGTGATTAAGCTGGTTTGAAAGTAGTCATAAATTGAAAAAATTCTGATAGAGACAAACCATCACGTCTATGAAGAAAGTTGTGCTTCTTGAATGTACCAGTTTTCCTGAAGCATCAGATTTATATCAGACAGATTTACTGGTGCCAGGTAGCCTCTGCAGAGTTCCTTACAGCAGGCTGGGTAGGGCTCAGGTAAGAGTCAGGCTTTCAGAGTGCTGCCAGCAACGTAAACGCTATGTGGGGGCAGAAGAGGAGATATAAATTCACAAGTTTCCCTGCTCCTGAACGAGCCTGTTTTCTGCACCTCTGCCTGAAGGAGCTTGTACTAAGCTGCCACCCAAGATGCGCGAGTCGGTGAAACGCTCCTCCAGCCTGCTACAGGCTGAATAGATCTATGTAGATCCATCATCGGCGTGGGCTGAGTGCCTTTCTGATGCTGCCCTGCTCACGGTACAGCACTGATGGGCAGAGTCAGCAGGGAGGTAAAGAAATTCTCCAGACACACGCTTAAACTTAATTCTTGTTTTCATCGTGTTTTTTCCCTCCTTTCTCTGAACTGGGACCAGCTGAAGAGGCGGGCGTAGGAGCCACTCCCAACCTGGAGGACCACGCTGGAGGAGATGCTGCCCAAGGTTAGTGAATCCTCTGTCGCTGGGGTCCAGTTACTGCTGCCCACATGCGGCTGGTTGCTACTGGCTTGGGAATTTTCTTCTGTAACGCAAATGCTCTGCACTGTGTGAGCGTTTGTGCAGTTCTCCCTGTTCCTGACAGGGGAGGGTCATACATGCTTTGAATGTTCCAACATACTCATTTCAGGGAACTGCAGCTTTTCATGTACCAAATTTCTCTCTCAGATGGCCGAAGCCCTGGTGCTTGTTTGTCCGGTTGCAGAACAGGGCATCCTCCAGGCTAGAGAAGGTGATAAACACAGCGGGGATGGTGCAGCTGGCCGGGAGGAGCTGCTCAGCGTTGAACAGAGTCGGTTTTGAGCCCTGCACGTCACACATTAAATAAGTGAATTGTTTAATTACTGTCTATTTCTAATGTAAAACATGTCTCAAACCTACTCACTGATGCCCTGACATTCTCATCCCGGTCTCAGGGAATGGGACAAAGCCAGGCACGGTGGGCAGTGAGTGTTTATAGAGCATTAATTGTACATCTGCTCAGATAAGCCGAGAAATTATCCAGGGACCTCTTGGCTATCTGAAAAACCTCTCGTGACTCTTCTCAGTTCAGACTTGATGGAAAACTTCAGGATGGGATTTCCCAAAGCACCCAGCGCTAGCTTAATTCTGTGCCCAACGGGGCGGACTTACGGGTTCAATCTCACTTTGATATTGCTGTCTTGCTAGTGCTAATACGCCATAGCGCTAATTTGGTGCGCTGGTTAAAATCTTAGTTAAACCCCATTTTGTAAGGTAGTTTCCTGTGCAGTAGACGTAAAAAATTCTCCAGTTGCTTGAGCAGCGTCTTTCCTCCTCGTGGCTGCATTAGTGCATTTACAGACATCCGTGCCTTTTAAAGAAGGAAATAGGTCTTTGCCTTCTCAGCTCAGGGCGGAATTCAGGTCATCTTTGCTTTCCACACACAGATAAGCACAGTTATGCACAGTCTGCTCCCTGCAATTAAAATAAAACCCTTGCTTGCCTGTCCAGTGGTTCTTGGACTAGCAACCCTTCTGTATTTAAAATAGTGGTGCTGCTACAAACAAGAAATCAGAATTGTTAGCAGGAGGGGGGTGAAGTTCTCTCTTCTGTCTGCCCTGTTCAGTCTGGTCCTAGCTGCTGTTTCTCACCAGATTTTGTTAAGACCTTTCTGTACTGTCCTTGGATCTTTCAGCTGTCAGATATGGGGACATACAGCTAACTGGAACTCCGAAATGACATCTATATGACATTTCTAGGTTCTTATGTAAAGTGTTACTTCTCTGAAAGTGGACTTGGAATCATAGAATCATGGAATCCTTTAGGTTAGGAAAGACCTTTAAGATCATTGAGTCCAACCGTTAACCTAGCACTGCCAAGTCCACCACTGAACCGTGTCTCTGAGTGCCACATCTGCTGCGTCCTTTTAATGATGACGTGATTCTTTTTGATTTGGAAGAAAATGATTCACAATGCACACACAGAGTCATGGATATCTTGTTACTAGCTACCTTAATTTTTCGTGTTGCGGGATTTGAAAAAATGATCTTTCAGTGAAGATGGAGCGTGTTAAAATGCCTTTGGAGTCACAGGTGGAGAAGTGTCTTCTGATGCCCAGTTCTCGCTCTGCTGGCATTCTGCCAGCTCTCGACTTCGTGCTGCATGTTTGTCTCGGAGCCACTGACAGCTCCTGGAGTATGGAAGTACAGCTAAGGACCTGACTGTCCAGTTCTCTGCGCCAGCGGTCGTTAATGGTCATGTTGTTCGTTTGCAGAAGAAGTGACCCAGGATGGTCTGCTGGCTACTGCCTAAACATTCTTCAGATCCTTGTGATTATAAAAGGGGTCTCGTGATGCCACATTTCAAATATTACCTGCCAATAGGTGCCAGTTTAGGATTTGTCTTAAACCACAATTTCCAAGGTCTTTGTGGGGTGGTTTCACTTAACTGTTGTGGATAAAATTGGTAAAACGTTGATAAAAACTGAGTCAGTCTTGACTACTTCTTTTCTTGTTTTAGTCTTGTTTGTTAATCTAGCAAAGCAACAACTGGAATCTCAGTACTGAAGTGCTCTGATCTGAGGCTCTTTAGTGCTCCCCGTCAGTGCTCAAAAAGACCAAAGAGTATTTGAAGATGGACAAATTGATAAGATAAGATGCACATTCTTACTAGGGCATTTGACTTTAAAGCGATTTACCTGTGTTCAGGGTCGATTCTCCATTGCTCAGTGCATCTTCACTTCAGCTGAATGAGTTTCTAACAGAAAAACTGCAGCTCAACCAGAACATATGGCTTAATGCAGCAATTGTTGGGTGAAATTGTGAAGGTCTGTGTCATGCATGAGATCAGCGATAGAACATAATTCTCTCTTTTTTTCCCTCCCAAAAACAAGATCTGTGTCTCTGTGACCTTAAGTTCTGGGTTTTAAATGTCACATGTTCTACTCTACCCCAAATGGTGGCAGCACCGCTGGAGCTCTGATGAGCCTGAGCGGGTGCACAGTCCAGAACTGCTGTGGCCACGTGGCTGCAGCCACATTTTCCTCCTAGTGCTTTCCACCGAGGTGGTCTGCTTCACTGGCTGTTGAAATACACAGCAGGGAGAGAGGAGACGTAGGAGCTTCCCCAGGCTCATGAGCAATGTTCTGGAGAAAAAAGCAGAGATGGTTTGAGCTCTGGGAGGATGTCACTGGTGCCGTGTCTGCATGAACATCTCCTGCAAGGAGGGAGAGAGCTTGAAGGGATTTTTTGAGCCCGTGAAGGAGGGGAGGGCGTCTGGCCTGTTTTGTTCGGGCTCTTGAGGGAAGAAGAGGTGCTCACTGACCAGCAAATTGGTGGTCCAGTGGTGGTGTTAGATGAGGAAATGGGTGTGTTTCTGGCTTCTGAAAACCTCTAAAGCTGACTGAGGTCATAGAGCGCAGGTGTGGCTGATGCTGGCCTTTATGGCACATGCCTGGGACACACCAACCAGCTCCGAGACAAGGTCCAGGGAGGGGTCTGCCACCCCACCTGCTGTGGCTGTCACTGCTCCTGGTTCCCATGGGGATCAGAGTTTCTTTAAAGGCAAAAGTCACTATAGGAGTGAGTTGTCTGCTCCGTGGGGCGATGTGGGACTTGCTTTTATTCTCTAGACTGATAGTAGAAGTCCGTAGTCTCTCTTCAGCGTTACATGACTGCCTGCCTATTTGACGTGCCTGTGCTAATTGTTTCCCCGTGCTTCGTCCTTTGCGTCTTTAACTCCAGGGGAGCCAAGCTCTCCAAAGCTGCAGCCTGGCCCTCAGGAGCGTGTGGGAGATGCAATAAAGAGAGAAAGCCAGCCCACAAAGCAGGTGGCTGGGGTTCTTCAGCAGCCTCTTCTGTCGTGTGAAATGAAGGCTCCCGCAGCAGCTCCCACCAGGATTGAGGTCACCATCCCGATACCCCTGGATATGTACCAAGGCTCCAGACCATCTGAAGACGACAACGAGTTGTGGGATCATCGAGGCAGAGAAGGCATTGGTGTGGATCCAGCGCTGGGAACGGAGCTGGGTCGTGATGTACGCACTGAGAGGGTGGCAGGAGTGGGTGGCACAGGTGACTCCCACGTTAAAGATCGGCCATCTCCCTTGTCTACCAGAGCTCCATTAAAAGAAGATGCCAGTGGATGGGAAAGAGATGAGGACCGTGATATTGATGAAACTTCTGAACAGGATTTGCTTTCCCTGGTGAGACATCAGGTTTCACCAGGACCTGAAATGGGCTTGTGTCCAGCAACAGCCAAGGAAGCTCTTGAAGAATATGCCTTTGATGAAAAAAAGTCCAAAGAGGTCCTCGGAGACACACCAAGAGAGGCACTTCTTGTTGAAACTGAATCACACAGGGCAGGAGAGGTCCAGGAGGAGAGGAGACAGCCATTGAAGGGGGAAGAAGACACAGAGGTCACCCCATCAGAGCCTCCTGAAATCATGTCCCAGAAAGAAGCTGAGCCTGGGGAGGGAGAAGATTCTGGACCCTTACTAGAAACAGCCAAACTCTCTGATGAGGTAAAAGATGATGTGGAAGATAAAGGTGCTCCTTTGGAAGAGGCCGTGACAGATACAGGAGAACGTCGGACGCCCAAGAAGAAACGTCATGCCCATGCTGCAGAGAAAGCAGTCAGTCGTGTTCCTCTCCTAAAAGGTGTGTGCAGCGTTTGCCCTGAGCTCACATTGCTGGTGGCTTGCTCACGACACGGCTGCCTGAACCAGCACTCCAGCTTGCTGCCACCTCTCAAATCCTGCTGCTTGGGAAATGGCCTGAGCCTTTGCTGTGGAGTGATCTACAAAACACCGCTGCTGCTTCCTCCTGCTCCTTCCCCCTTTAGTTTAATCCTGGATGTCCCGGCGTACTTGCCAGATCCTTCTGCTTCGGTTTTGCATCCCTTGCATGGTGCTGGCGTGTCCCCGATCATGCTTTGTTCACCTCTTTTTTTTTTTTTTTTTTTTTATTTCCTTGGATCTGTGGGGTGGGCACCTTAACTCACACCTGGCACCTTTCCTGAGAAGATGAAGACCGGATGGACGTTGTTCTGGCATGTTGGAGTGGGGCTAACCCGGCGCACGCTGCAGCTTGTTCCAGCAAGACACGTGCCATCTGGTTTGCATGTGTCCGCTGTCCGGTCCAATAACTCTTTGTCTTGGCTTTCCTCAAGAGGAGGGAGGAGGAAAAAGGCAAGCGAGAGGGCAGGTCTAACCATGGGAAAGGCCTCGCTTTGGTCCTGTTTCTTGAACTTTTCCCTTAAATATCCACTACTGACCGCTGGCGGAGGCAAGGTCTGCAGCTGGCTGGACCTTCACCCGCTACAGGGCACGTCTCATGCTCTCATGAAGCATCCTTCTCTGATCCCAGTTCTGATGGCGTGTCCCTGGGTGGTCCAACACCGTGGCTGTGTTTGGGGTGTTTTGTGGGAGCTGCCTGTGTGTGGAGGCCTGGCTCTTGGGCACATCTAACAGCGTGGGTGTCTCTGGGCTGGGCTGGGCTGGGAGGGCGGTCAGACCCTGGAGCTGCTGCATTCGTGCAGCAGTCTCAGTCTTAGCTGTCTTGGGTGAAGGTCTGAGTTCACCCCTCAAAGCATGAGCATCCCTGCCAACAGAGCAACTCTCAGACCTTTTCTTTCTCTGAGAGCTATTTTCCACCTTTACTGGGGGTCAGAGGGACGTCACTAGGGACCCTACTCAGTGGCCAAACACAGGTTTTGCAGTGAGTTGTGTTGGTAAACTGAGGCAGCAGGACACACGTTAGAATGGTGTCTCACTGTGTTGTACCTCAGCTCTGGCTGTCCAGAGCCTGGTCTGGGGGGAGCTCTGCCTTTCACCCCAGTGCTGCATCCCAAAAGCTGGCTTGGCTGCTTCTGTTAGCCTGGAAATCTTGCTCACCGCCTCTCTGGTTTGCGGCAGAGAGACGTGTGCTCTTTGCTGCGCGGGGTTCATGAAGAAATTGTTGGTGTAGCTTTTTCCATTGGAGCTAAAGCTCAGAACACATTTCTCGTTGTTCGCTACCTAATAATCCAGCGGGAAGCTTCGCTCATGTGCTGCAGGGCATTGGCATGGCTTGCTATCGCTCGCATCGGAGCCTGAAACCGACGGCGGGTTGGGGATGCATTGCCCAGATTCAACCAGTTTTACATTCAATAGGAGGAATTTCTTTAATTATTTAATGGTCTTTTCCTTCAAAGACAAGAGATACCTCGTGGGTGTTCAGCTCCAGTCTTGCTCCAATCTGCAGTTTAACTGAATTTGGGAAGGGCAGTGCATCCAGCAGCTCTGGGAGCGGCTGCTGGGATGGGTCAGGGTTGGCAGTGCTGGATTAACAACATTGTTCGTGTCGCTGGAAAAGGGCTGACCCCCCCCAGCAAGTTTCCAAAACACTGGGGAGAATACCAGCAGCTTTTCCTCCCATATTAGAGAGGAATTATCTGCAGACCGGGAAAAGGGGCTTTTTAATGAGTGCCTTACAGTACAAACATTGCTTCCTCCCTGTTTCTAATCTCCTAATTAGCAGTACTGCAGGCTGTGCTTGTAGATGAATGGGACAAAACACTGAAATATTGTCAGTTGCTCTGTGCTTGATATGAATCAAGTAGGACAACAGCGAAAGCCTGAAGACCCGGCAGGGTCTGACCCCGCAGAAAGCAGGGTGTCAGGAGAGATGGGAATGAACAACAGCTGGGTAGAAAAATGCTTTGCAGAGTTAACAACAACTTTAAATGAGATTGTGGGCAACCTGGTGCTGCTAGGACTGGGGCAATTTTAGTCCTTTTTACATGATTGTTAGAACTAGTGGGTGTTTTAGAGAGGGAGATTTACGTTTAGGGTTGAAGAGAACTGTTCTGTCCTAAACTGAGCAGATGCTGTGGGAACTCAGTGCAGATCTGGGCAGAATGGTCTCATACAGACCTTGCTGCGTGTGTCCGATGCTCTGGTGATGACTGATGCGCTGTTGCCTATGCACAGGATGATCTGTTAACCCAGAAAGAATGTGTTTACGATGTGGAAGTATTTCTGCAAGAAATGAGTGACTTTGTAATATTTCTAAGAATAGTGTTTAATTTAAAGGAACATGGAAACCCCCCCAGCATGCATGTTGCTGTGGCACAGGCATTATCACCTCTCCAAAGTTTACTGACCGGTCCCAAGGAGTGTAACTGTGTGTTTCCGTTTGTCAGGTCATACTGACAGCAGAGACAAGGAAGGGACTGAAGCTGAGGAAAAGAAACCGAAGGTAAGCTAAAAAATGAAACCAGAGGTGACATTAGCCCACTGAGTGCTGTGCACGTTCCTGACTCTCTCCTGCTCTCCTGGCCTGTGCTAGTGCCTCTTAGGAACCCTTGCCATTGTTTTCCATTCTTCCTTACATCTTCCAAGAGTGGTTTGGTTGTTTTTTTTTGTTCCCTCATCGTGGTTTGGATGGTGCAATCCATGGTGATCTTTGAGGGCGAGCAAGCAAACCAAATGTAAACCAAACATGTGGTTCATGGGGTTGGGCGGGTGGTGAGAGAAATAATTTTCTGAGCCTGAGACCGGAAAGCAGACATCTGGCTTTGCTGGGGCAAACCGGCGCAAAAGCAAACTCAGAAGGCTGTACTGGGCACAAGCAGCATATCAATGAAAAGAGCAAGATGTGTAATTAAAAAATTAAGTAATCTAGGCATTGCAGATGCTGTGTTCTGGGTGAGGAACAGTTTGGGTAAATTTGAGAAGTTTAAATATATCTGTCACAGTGCTGATTTGGAGGAGGTTTAGTTCAGCGGGCTGTTAGCCTGACTAGTGCCTGGGAGAGATGATGGACAAGCTGATGGACAATTTAGTGGGTGAAGAGTTAAAGGTGAGGAATATAGTTATTTTCAAACAATGTGCAATTGGGTCTTTCACTGGGGAGGTCTGCGGGGTTGTATCAGGCTAGGCATTTGCCATGGTACCAAGCAATTGTCTGGATAAAAATTGATGATCTATTGTTGACAAAGTGGGTATGGTGGGACTGAATGACCTGGGAGCAGTCATCTGCAGCTCCCAGAAATGCTGGTCGTGGTGGTGCTGTACCTGCAGCATCTTTGCCAGTGGAGCTCATAGAGTTTGGGAGCAAACAGAGCAGTTCAGATGGTAAAATGTGCCATGGTGTGGAGGGTGGTGGCAAGGGCAGGTTGTCACGGAGTGATGCTTCTCCCAGAAAGGGGCTTGGGTGTTGCTGCACCCTGTGGGAGGAACAGAGCTGAGGTATCCCATACTTGCCCGTGTGGATCCCAGCAGTACCCAGGGTCAGTACCAGCCATCGCCCATCCCACACCCAGTTCTGTATTGCACCTTCTAATCCTATTTAATGTCATTGATCCCCTTTTGTTTCCATCCCATACTGATTTTTTTTTGTTCCAATTTTATTTTGTTTCCATGTTTAAGAAAGCCTCATCTTCCACTGTTAAAACCCCAGGCAGTAGACCCTCCATCCCCCCCCAACGACACACCTCCTCTAGCACAACCCCTTCGAAAGCACCCTCCAGCCCTGCTTCCGCCTCTAAACGAGTGTCTTCTGTCACATCCCGAACTACCAGTACAGGAATGCAAGAAATGAAAGCCAAGGTAAGGAAATAGGATGTGAGAGAGGCAAAGCTGCCTTGGGGAACACCTTAAGGAATTCCTGACAGCGCTGACAGCACTTGGCTG